AGGGACAGCACGGGGTTAGATACAGAGTAAAGCTCCCTCTACACTGTCCCCCATCAAACCCTCCCAGGGACAGGGACAGCACGGGGTTAGATACAGAGTAAAGCTCCCTCTACACTGTCCCCCATCAAACCCTCCCAGGGACAGGGACAGCACGGGGTTAGATACAGAGTAAAGCTCTCTCTACACTGTCCCCTATCAAACAGGCAGAAATTCACCAAAGATCCTTAGGCAGCACCCTCCAAACCCATATGGTTGAAGGAGATACCTGTCCCCCACCTTCTCAAGGGGCTACTAGAGAACAGTCAATAAACGCTGTACCCAGTTTGTGATGTGTACGTGAATATGTACAGTACGGAACTGTCCTGTCAAACTGCCTGTTCCCACATTGTCAGACTGAATCCTTGTGTTATCCTATCCTTTTCCGAACCCACAATGGGTACAGGCACTGACCATCCACACATTCTCGATCACCCGAGCGTCCTCACCCCAGGAACCAGCTGGGTGAACCCTTTCTGTCCTGCTTCCAAAGTATGGGCACAATGCCAGCAGCTCGGAGGTCTCAGTGCAGTGCTGGGTCCTGGGTGACTGACATTTCCCAATATTCCCTCACATTTGCAGCAACCCTCCCTCTCCTTCGTTCCTAGCTGCAGCTTCTCACTGCATTTGATGAAGACTGTCCCAGCTCCCACCCCACTCCCAGATCCCTCTTCCCCGCGCAGGATTCCCATCTTCCTGACCCTGAGGAAGAGTTCAACAAGAGCTTATTCCCAGCGGAGTTTCCCCTCGTCTCCCCCTCTCACTCTGTATCTGTGAGCTCTTGTCTGACATTGTCACAGTCTCCCAGTCACTCTCAACCTCAACCTCAGGCAGTACATTCCAGCAACGTCCCCACGACAGAGGTCAATCTAACCGCTGTATCATTTCTCACTTCTTACCGATCTACTTTCTTTGAGTAAGTGTGTCACATTAGCATGTTTCTAATCCACTGGTACCTTGCCAGAATGCAGCGAGGTTTTCGTAATTCATGCATCCTCTATCTCTGCTGCCACCTCCTTTAATACCCTCGGGTGCAGGCCATCAGGTCCTGGGGACTTATCTGCCTTCAATCCCATCAATGTAGCTAATACCCTCTCCCTAATAATTCCACTGGGTTCCTCTGCAATAACTGCAAGAAATTATTGTCTTTCACTGTGAAAACACAATGGATTTGTGCCTGTGCCATTTCTGAGTTTTCTCATTATCACCTCTCCATTTTCATCCTCCAGAGGGCCGTCGTCCCCTTTCACTATTCTCTTCCTTCTCATATCCTTATCGATTCATTTGATAGCAGGGCCAATGATTTCTGCCAG